ACCCTAGCATTTACTTCCTTTACAACCCCATCTATAAATATATTAAACAACCATGGTGACATTACACATCCCTGTCTAAGACCTACTTTTACTGGGAAGTAGTCTCCCTCTCTTCTACACACCCTAACCTAACCTAACCTAATATGACATAATAAACAATATAAATAACATAAAAACCTGGTATACACTCTAGAATGAATAAAATATGAACTTAACTGCTTTAAACTCCACATCTTGCACCTGTGCTGGTGTGCAGGTGCACATTAAAATCATTAACCCTTTCAGGGTCCGTCCCGTAGATCTACGGCTTTACGTTCAGGGTCCAAACCGTAGATCTACGCCATGAGCTCAGCTCACTCTGATAAACTGTGAGTGGTACATTTGGGCCTAGATATGAGAGAATACATCTATGTGGTATGTGTGCACCACATAAAACAGATCCTGCAGCACACTGTGCATAATGAGAGAAAAAAAATGAAATCATGATTTTTCGATTAAAACAGCAACTTTGCAGTGTTTTTTCGTATGTTTTTTATAGTTGTATTTGCGATTTCTTGGTCTCATTTGATAGAATGGAAGACATATTACAGAAATAGAGATGATTTTGATTGGTTTTAGCATTGGAAATGGTTTGAAACTGAGCTCAAAGTAGCGGAAATGTTAAATTTTTGCCGATATTCAAGAGTAAACAAACGACCTCACACGTCTAATACACATCAGCTGGTGGGTCTAATATACATTCACAAATATGGTGATGATATTTATAACAATTATTACAGTATTGCATAACAGTAAATCTTCTATTTTTTGGTGTGAATAAAAATTCATTATGTGAATAAAAAATCAAAATGGAATTTATTTGTAAAGCCTCAAAACATAACTAATGAACAGAGGAAATGTTAGTTTAGTGCCAGGAATGCCTACATTGTTCATTCTGGACCCTATTTTGAAATTGGAATATTTTGAACTTTGTGTTAAATTGGCCAAATTAACAATTTCCGATCACTTTATTTTGTAGTTGAAACAGTTGACTTGGCGATTTCGTGTGCTCAATCGATAGAATAGAAGTAATACTAGTGAAATAGCTAAGAATTTGGTTGATTGGAATAATGTAATTGGCCTAAAATGGGAGTCAAAGTCGGCAAAATCGCCGATTCGTAAATATCGCTGACACATCAAAATTCGCGAGAGCATAATTTCGTCAATTTTCCACCAATTTTCGTACTTTTTGTTTTATTACCTTCACAAAAAGATTCTCTACGATTTCATAAGAAAAAATAACAAATTTTTTTTTTTGAAATATCTTGGACACTGGTGCGTGACTCCAGATTTGGGCCTTGGACCCTGAAAGGGTTAAGAGTGTCTTATTGGTCTTGAAGATGCCATATTAATAATGATAATAATAACACAATAATAATCACTCTGAGGTGCATTAAATGTGTATAAAACGTTAATGTAGACATTTTGGTTAATCCATCTATGATTTTTTTTTCAAAATTATATAATAAACATGCTATGTAAGATATAAACATATAAATTAACATAAATATGAGATGTTTTTCCAAAACCAAGGAGAGAGGTAATCCTACCAAAGGACTTAGTACCTGAAGTCTTTCTGGAAGGGGATTCTCCTTCCAAGCAATAGACAATTCTGAATTTCCCCTGCTGCTGGCGCATCACTCATCAACAACTCCACAATAAAGGTAAGTGGCATTTAATTATTGATTATTTTGCATGTCCCATTCCTTTCCATATAAAGAAAAGTGTATTTCATGTAAAAAAAAAAAAAAAAAAAAATCAGACTTTGGGGTGTCAGGAACGGATTAATTCTATTTCCATTATTTCTAATGGGGAAAATTAACTCGACCAGCGGCAATTTCAACCAATGGCAAGCCCTCTGGAATGGATTAATGTCATTGGTTGAGGGTCCACTGTACTATTCTGTCATGCCTCCTGACAGCAGAAACGTATTAATTGGATTTCCATTATTTCTTATGGGGAAAATTAAATCGAATAACGATAAAATCAGTTAAGGACAAGCTCTCTGGAATGGATTAATATTGTTAACTGAGGATCTACTGTATTATCATGTATCTCTCCCTCCTCTGCCCCAGTGAATACTTATTTAAAACTTTAAGGTGTTCCCAGTAGTTTAAATGTTTTACTGGCACTGTGAAGGCTGTAAATGATCTAATTGTTCCAGCTCTGATATTTCTCCAGCCCTGAATGGGGCCATCAACACTGAGCAATATTCCAAATGAGGGAGCACTAGTGATTTGAAAAGTGTCACCACTGGCATTATTTCACTAGTTTTGAAATTTCTCATTACTCACCCCATCATCTTCCTGGCCATTGTGACCTTTGTCTTATTGAGTTCTTTGAAAGAAAGGTCAACTGACTTAATTACTCCCAAGTCTTTCATGTGTTCCTTTAATTCTATTTGACAATCCTCTTGAGTTTTGTATGCAGTGTTCCTTTTGAGTTATCATTCTTTCCATACCTAAGCAGTTGGAACTTATCACCATTGAATGTCATATTGTCCTCCACTGCCCACTGGAAAACACTGCTTATATCTTCCTGTAATTTTTCAGTGTCTTCTACCAAAGTGACTTTCATGCTTATTTTAGTGTCAGGTGCAAATGATGATAGAAAGCTGTGACTGGTGTTTATATCTGTGTCTAGTATGAGGATAAGGAACAGCAGAAGTGCCAGGACAGTGCATTTTTCAGCATAAAAATAATCTCGTGCTATAATTTTTCATTGTAGAGGATTCAGTTTTCCATGGTAATCATTTCTGGAAGCTTCAATGAGAATTCTACCTGCAGCAATAGAAGCAAAATAGGTCCCTGATTTACGATATTTATTCATTTGTGAAATTTGCTCATAATTTAAGTAGTATTTGGAACTTTGAACCTATTTTCATTGAACACTTGTGTTATACTGTAATTTTCATAACTTAATATAACTTTTGCAGTTATACTATTGGAACTAAATGTCATGCTGCTGATAGTAGTGAAGAAACACTTTGCTGATCAAACTTGATAAAGGTTTTACCAAACTGAAATGTTATTCTAATAAAAGCTTGTTCAGCAGTGTGTACTTTTCATCACAGTTTTGATTCAGTAAGATCACAGTAAACAGGTGTTATCACAATATGCAAAATAACTATGGGTATATGGTTATATGTGTATGAAGCTTGGGTTGTAAATGCTACAGCAAGGAAGTGGTTGGAGGCAGTGGAGATGTCCTGTCCAGTGGCAATGTGTGGTGTAAATATTATGCAGAAAATTTGGAGTCTGGAAATTACGAGGTGTGGAGTTAATAAAAGTATTAGTCAGAGGCTGAAGAGGAGTTGTTGAGGTGGTTTGGTCATTTAGTGAGAATGGATCAAAGTAGAATGACATGGAGAGTGTATAAATCTGTAGGGGAAGGAAGGCAGGGTAGGGGGTCATCCTCGAAAAGGATGGAGGGAGGGGGTAAAGGAGGTTTTGTGGGCGAGGGGCTTGGACTTCCAGCAAGCATGCGTGAGTGTGTTAAATAGGAGTGAATGGAGATGAATGGTTTTTGGAACCTGACGAGCTGTTGGAGTGTGAGCAGGGTAATATTTAGTGAAGGGATTCAGGGAAACCGGTTATTTTTATACAGCCAGACTTGAGTACTGGAAATGGGAAGTACAATGCCTGCACTTTAATAGAGGGGTTTGGGATATTGGCAGTTTGGAGGGATATGTTATATATCTCTATATATGCTTCTAAACTGTTGTCTCGGGGTGCCTCTGCAAAAACAGTGATGATGTATAAGTGAGGTGAAAGTGTTGAATGATGATGAAAGTATTTTCTTTTGGGGATTTTCTTTCTTTTTGGTCACCCTGCCTCAGTGGGAGATGGCCAACTTGTTGAAAAAAAAAAAACTACAGTGAAAAAATAGTGAAATTCCATGTGTTTTCATGATTTCTAACATTATCATTTATCATTATTATCATGAAAGCACTTGGAATTTAACTGTTTTTTCACTGGGTTATTTTGTATATTGCATTTGCACCATTATTATTTATTACCTTCATAACTATAATATCAATTTTACTTTTGAAGCATAATACAGTATATTGTAGTACATGAATGCTGGTATTGATCCTGAGTTATACCTTCCCTCTGGCCACTACAGTGACCAATTCATAACAGATCAAGATTGAAAATATTACATGGCTAACCATGTAAAAGATTTTCATTGACAAGATTAAATCAGTATTCATCTACTATGGTAGATCAATTAATTAACACTACAGTACACTAATTAACACTACAGTACACTACTACTGTCATTAAACACTAACCTAACTTTCTAGTACTCAGAAACATTTACTAGCAGAGAGAATGTGTGTGTAATTTTTTTTTAGCACATCAGCCCTTTCCCACCGAGGCAGGGTGACCCAAAAGAGAAGAAATACTTTCATCAATATTCACTCCATCACTGTCTTGCCAGAGGTGTGCCAATACTACAGTTCAAAAACTACTACATATCTCCATCCTTCCTTCAGAGTGCAGGCACTGTACTTCTCACCTCCACAACTCAAGTTTGCTAACCAGTTTTCCTGAATCCCTTCATAAATGTTACTTTGCTCACACTCCAACAGCACATCAAGTCATAAAATCCACTTGCTTCCACTCACTCCTATCTAACACGGTCACACACGCTTGATATATGTCTTAACCCCTCGCACACAAAACCCTCATTTAACCCCCCTTCTTCCAATCTTTCCTAGGACAACCCCTACCCCGCCTTTTCTCCATGCCCTCCAAGTTATCCTATTTTGTTCCATCCTCTAAATGTCTGAACCACCTCAACAACCCGTCTTCTGTATAAGAGTGCTGGTACCACTGTACTCTCATACATTCCCTTTTTGGCCTCTGTGGATAACTTGTATTTTTGCAGTACCTTAATATTAATTTTTTTTTTTTAAGCTGAAAATTGTTGTTTACAGTATTGTAATTGTTGTTTGTACATTTATTTCTACCCAGTGCTGCTAAGGCTCCATACCTAGCTCGATTCCAAGTTTGTAAGTGTGGGATAATGGAACTCGAGAAGCAGGGAATGGCAGTGAGCTCTGGGCAGGAAGTTAGTACTAACATTGGACCTGTAGTCTGGCAAGCTGCTATATTTAAGGTAAATCATATGTATGTATGAATTCTACTCAAGTTTCTCAGATTCAAGCTATTTCTTTTGCATCACTGTAGTAATGTTGTTCACATGAAATTCCTTCCATGTGTCATAATTCTGACACAGTACATGTATAAAATGCTGCTCCAGCTTGGCTAAAGATGATAATCCATAATTCATGAAATGTCACTGTAGATACTTGGAAGGTTGACTTGGGCAAAGAGCTGATGACTCACTGATTATGTATTCTGGATATTAAGTAATGTGATGTGTACTTCTTTGATAATATGCATTGATGTTTTATTTTTCCACTATGTGTATCTTCATCTTAGGTAGTAGGTTGGTAGACAGTGACCACCTAGGGAGGTACTCCTGTCCTGCCAAGTGAATGTAAAACAGAAGCCTGTAATTGTTTTACATGAGGGTATGATTCCTGGTGTCTTTTTTTTGTTTCATGAACATGCAAGAGTTCAATTACATCTTCTTACTTCTACTTGCACTTAAGTCACACTACACATGCATGTACAAGCATATTTTTTTTTTATTAACACATCGGCCAATTCCCACCAAGGCAGGGTGGTCCGAAAAAGAAAAACTTTCATCATCATTCACTCAGTCACTGTCTTACCAGAGGGGTGCTTTACACTACAATTATAAAACTGCAACATTAGCACCCCTCCTTCAGAGTACAGCCACTGTACTTCCCATCTCCAGGACTCAAGTCCAGCCTCCTGGTTTCCCTGAATCCCTTCATAAATGTTACTTTGCTCACACTCAAACAACATATCAAGTCCTAAAAACCATTTGTCTCCATTCACCCCTATCTAACATGCTCACACATGCTTGCTGGAAATCCAAGCCCCTCGCATACAAAACCTCCTTTACCCCCTCCCTCCAGCCTTTCCTAGGTCAACCTCTACCCCGCCTTCCCTCCACTACAGATTCATTCGCTCTCAAAGTCATTCTATTTCGTTCCATCCTCTCTACATGTTCAAACCACCTCAACAACCCCTCCTCAGCCCTCTGGATAATAGTTTTGGTAATCCCACACCTCCTCCTAATTTCCAGACTACAAAGTTTCTGCATTATATTCACACCACACATTGCCCCTCAGACACGACATCTCCACTGCCTCCAACCTTCTCCTTGTTGCAACATTCACCACCCATGCTTCGCACCCATATAAGAGCTTTGGTATAACTATGCTCTCATACATTCCTCTCTTTGCTTCCATGGACAAAGTTCTTTGTCTCCACAGACTCCTCAGTGTACCACTAACCTTTTTCCCCTCGTCAGTTCTATGATTCACCTCATCTTTCATAGACCCATCTGCTAATACATCCACTCCTAAATATCTGAATACATTCACCTCTGCCATATCCTCTCCTTCCAGTCTGATATACAGTCTTTCATTACCTAATTTTTTTGTTATCTTCATCACCTTGCTCTTTCCTATATTCACTTTTAAGTTTCTTCGTTTACATACCCTACCAAACTCATCCATCAACCTCTGCAACTTCTCTTCAGAATCTCTCAAAAGCACAGTGTCATCAGCAAAGAGCAACTGTGACAACTCCCACTTTGTGTTAGAGTCTTTTTCTTTTAACCCCACACCTTTTGCCAATGCCTGAGCATTTACTTCTCTTACAACCTCATCTGTAAATACATGTATATTGAACAAGCATAGTAACATCACACATCCTTGTTGAAGGCCTACTTTTATTGGAAATACTCTCCCTCTCTCCTATATACTCTAACCTGAGCCTCACCATCCTCATAAAACTTTTCACCACTTTTAGTAACCTACCTCCTATTCCATACATCTGCAACATCTGCCACATTGCCCCCCCTATCCACCCTGTCATACGCCTTTTCCAAATCCATAAATGCCACAAAAACCTCTTTACCCTTATCCAAATAGTACTGTTCACGTATATGTTTCACTGTAAACACTTGGTCTACACACCCCCTACCCTTCCTAAAGCCTCCTTGTTCATCTGCTATCCTACTCTCCATCTTAGTCTTAATTCTTTCAATAATAACTCTGCCATACACTTTACCAGGTATACTCAACAGACTTATACCCCTATAATTTTTGCACTTTCTTTTGTCCCCTTTGCCTTTATACAAAGGAACTATGCATGCTCTCTGCCAATCCCTAGGTACCTTACCCTCTTCCATACATATATTAAATAAAAGCACCAACCACTCCAGAACTATATCCCCACCAGCACTTAACATTTCTATCTTTATCCCATCAATGCCAGCTACCTTACCCCCTTACATTCAACCCATCACCTCACGAACTTCCCCCATACTCACAACTCGCTCCTCACTCCTACAAGATGTTATTCCTCCCTGCCCCAAACACAAAATCACAGCTTCCCTTTGTTCATCAACATTTAACAATTCCTCAAAATATTCCCTCCATCTTCCTGATACTTCTAACTCTCCATTTAATAATTCTCCTCTCCTACTTTTAACTGTCGAATCCATTTGTTCTCTAGGCTTCTTCAACTTATTAATCTCACTCCAAAACTTTTTCTTATTTTCAACAAAATTTGTTGATAACATGTCACCCACTCTCTCATTTGCTCTCTTTTTACATTGTGTCACCACTCTCTTAACCTCTCTTACCCTCTCCATATACTCCTCCCATTTTACATCACTTCTACTTTGTAAAAACCTCTCATATGCTAACCTCATCTCTCTTACTAATCTCTTTACATCATCATTCCACCAGTTGTTCTTCTTCTGTCCTGCACTCACTTTCCTATAACCACAAACTTCTGCTGAACACTCTAACACTACATTAAAATTAATAATACTGGAAACATGGTGACCACTAGGCCTTTTGTAACTAAATAAAATCCATGTAGGATGGATTTTATTTTGTTATAGGCACCCTTTTGTGGGAGGGCAGATTAATAGCACACTCTTATACACAGCTTGAACCTTCTCATTTTAACCGTTTCATTGTTCAGACCCCTGAAATTAATATTGCTCCCAGTGTTCACTTTAAAAAAAAAATTCTGAAGGGTAGAGAATTTTTTCTGAAGCTAATGACACCAAAAAATATGACGTTTGATGTAAAACTTACAGAATTATACAGACATGAATTTAGTGGTCTGGGAGCAGTTTACACATCAGTGATTTTGCCGAGTTTGAATCCTATTTTGAACAGATTTCTTTGTGCTGTTTGACCAATCTTAGCTGTTTTGCTAGTATGCTCTCTGTTCTATTGACTAAGCACAAGAAAGCAGCCATTCAGCTATTACTACCCTATAAGTGCACAAAAGTTGGTAATTTGGCCAGTTTTACACAAAATTTAAATATAGTAGGGCCCCACTTATATGGCAGATTAGGTTCCAGGCTACTGCCGGAAAGCAGAACTCCATTTTTTCCACTTAAAAAGGCATATAAATTTCAGATAACATGTTTACACTAACATATATTAAACAGTAGAACTAGGCATTAAAAACAATAAAAGGTAATACACATACACAGTACACTCATAACTTACCTTAAAATATTTGTAGTCTTAATGTAGGCTGGGAGGTGAGTTTTATTTGTAAGAAGTCAGGTTTGGGAGGTATGGTAGCCAGCCAGGGCAGCCCACCTTACCCCACCCACATGTAATATACTACAGGTCCGCCATCACAAATCCGGCAATCAGTTATTCGGTTCCTTCAGTTATTCGGCACTAATTTTGGCTAGCATAATTTCAAATTTCCAGGATCCCCACACCAACCTGCTGGTACTGTTTGGTGGCGCTACTTGCTGCGCAAGTCATTCCAATTTCTTTTTCTCCATTTATTGTTTTAACCTGCTTGCTTTTAGCCCTAGCCATGGTTCCATTGGATAAAAGAAATGCTTCTCATTATGTAAAGCACCTACACAGTACATTATCCATTAACCCTTTGAGGGTTTCGGACGTACTAGTACGTCTTATGCACAGGGGTTTTTGACGTACTAGTACGCATAAATTCTAGCACCGTCAAATCTCGCGGGAAAAGGCTGGTAGGCCTCCATATGAAAGAATGGGTCTGTGTGGTCAGTGTGCACAGTATAAAAAAAATCCTGCAGCACACAGTGCATAATGAGAAAAAAAAAACTTTCACCGTTTTTTTGGCATAAAACAGCGACTTTGCTCTGTATTTTCGTATGGTATTTATTGTTGTATTCTAGTTTTCTTGGTCTCATTTTATAGAATTGAATGCATATCACAGAAATGAGATGATTTTCACTGGATTTTACTATGAAAAGTACCTTGAAATTGACTCAAAGTAGAGAAATGTTCGATTTTTAACCAAAGTTCAAAAGTAAACAAATCATTGCCAAGCGTCCAATACACATCAACTGGTGGAGTCTAACATTCTTTTGCAAGTGCGCCAATATGATTTATATCATTTTTTACACTAATGCAGTAGTCTGCATAACAGTTAAATCTTCTATTTTTCGTGAGAATAAAAAATTCAAAGTGGAAAGCAAAAGAATGTAAGAGGGGCCTTGAGACGTGACTAATGAACAGAAGAAATGTCATTTTAGTTCCAGGAATGTATTTCTTGTTTGTTCTGGACCCTATTCGGAAATTGGCATTTTTTGAAATTTGTGTGAAATTGGCAAAATTGCTAAATTCTGACCACTGTATTGGATAGTTGAAAATGGTAAATGGGTGGTTTTCTTGCACTCATTCTAATAGAAAAAATGTAGTTTCTAGCGAAATAATTCATGTTTTTTGTCTACTAGTACAGAGGAATTGGCCGAAAATGGGGCTCAAATTGGGCAAAATCGCCGATACGTAAACATCGCAGTGACCGCTAACTTCGCGAGAGCATAATTCCGTAAGTTTTCCATCAAATCACATAATTTTGGTGTCATTATGATCGGGAAAAGATTCTCTATCTTTTCATAAGAAAAATAATTTTTTTTTTTTTTTAAATTTGGCCGACCCTGAGAACGAGTTTCTGAGAGGGCCTGTCGACCCTCAAAGGGTTAAAGATAAG